AAGGAAAACGAAAAACAAAACAGAAAAAAAAGGAAAAAAAAAAGCCACTGGGGAAAAAAAAACAGAGAGAAAAAAAAAAAGAAGTAAATCACTTAAAAATACATTTTTTAAAATGTCATATATTGCAACATATTGATGCATTTGTCATACGTTTCTACTTAAATTATTAAGCACTTATGGTTTAGATGTAATAATAATTCTATGTAAGGGTAAATTTTTATTTTAGATATAAAGTTAAAAGCACGGAGGATGCGGCGCGAGCGGCGGCCCCCGCCGCGGGAGGGCCTGCGCCGGCAGCGGCCGTCCGCACCCAGATCCTCTCAGACCCGCGTGTAATTTCGTGCCCGTGAAATGAAGTCTCGATAGTTACGTGTTCCTTTTTTTTTTCTTCCTTTCTACCCCCTCCAAAAGATTTATTAAACTTTATAGTTTATCTGGGTATGTTGGATGCTTTGACAATAAATGACTTTATTTTCTTCAAAGCACCTGGACGTTAATCACTACTTTTTGGCGGGGCGGGGGGAAGGCGAAGGGGAGCGGCGGGGAAGCCGGGGCCGGCACCGCGGCGTCCCGGAGCAGAGCTCTCCTCCTTTCTCTTCTCCTGTCCATCTCCTCTCTCTTTCTTCCTCTTTTTCTTTCTTTCATTTTTTCCTGCCTTCCTCTTGTCATTTCTCCGTTCCGTCGGTACTTAAAAAGCCTCTCTCACCTTTTCTTTCGTCCCTTTCTTCCTTTTATTCTGCTCCTTTCCCCTTCCTTCCTTGGCTTTTTTTTTTCTTTTTTTAATTCTCTTTTTTTCCCCTTCATTACTTCCTTCATTCTTTCCTATGTCGTTATTTTTTTCTTTCATCCCTTTCTCTTTTTCTTCTCCTTTCTTTCTCCTTCCTCTTTCCTTCCCATCTCGTTCTGTTTTCATTTTTCTCTCCTCTCCTCTCCTCTCCTCTCCTTTCTGAATCCATCTCTTCCACAGTGTATCAACCAGGTGGCTCAAGCACTTGCTAGTAAATGCAGACAGAGTAAATGCAAGACAAGAGACTTGCTAGTAAATGGAAGACAAGAGCATTCCTCATGCAAAAAGGTGCTGATGGCCTGCGAGAACAGTGAGAGAATCCGCCCACACTTCATTTCCTTTTTGATCAGGCCAGAGGGAGCTAAGGCGAGGTGTCTGAGTTCATCTTTGTAGCCCAGCACTGGCAGGAGCGTCCCGGCTCCCGCTCCCTGCGCCGAGTCTCTCCGAGGGACGAGGCAGAGCTTGAGCTCCCCCATGGGGAGGTTCAGCCAGCGGGCTGAGGGGCAGAGTGGCATTCACACCACAGCAGCCCCTCTGGGCAGGAATCTGCCGGGTGGAGCCATGCCCAAAGCCTGGCACTGCCCGTCTCCTCTCCCCAGGTGCGCCAGAGGGGCTGGGTGGCAGGATGGTGCCTCCGTAGCAGTGGGAAGGAGGGCTCAGCGCTGACCAGGGCAGGGCAGCAAATGGGTCCTGACCTGGACCTGGCCCCGGCTGGCCGTGCGCAGGGCAGCCAGCCGGGTGTGAGGTGCGGGGCCGGCAGGGACAGAGCATGCCAGGCTGGATTAACCCCCCCCTCCGCGTCTGTATGTTTTCCCACCCGGCAAAGAGCTCAGGGATGGGGTCTGGCTCCAGGGCAAGGGGGGATCCTGCTGCCAAAGAGCTGGCTCACGCAGGCTGCACGTGGAATCCTGCCTGGGCACTGGGGGAGAGCCGCAGCCCGCGGGCGCTGCGGAAATGCACTCTGTCTCCCAGGCAGCGCACTTCCTGTCAAGCCCACGTATTTTGGGGTGTTTGAATGACGATATGTGCAGTGAAAAGCACTGCCCCAAGCAGTGGCTTGTCTGTGTGCGCAAAACACCATCCCGCACGCGCCGAGCTGCAGCTGCGCGAGGGGTGGGTGTTGCAGGCGCAGGTCGTCTCATGAGGTGGGCAGTCGGCAGCAAGTCAGACCCCCCCAGCAATGGCCATGCGAGTGCTGCAGCCTCCATCAGCGCTCAGGGATTGCCCGACCTTGGTGCGAGCAGGACCAGGTCTGCAAATGTCTCCTGCTGTAAACTGCGAGGCCTGCCAGGAAGCACCTGGACTTGCTGCTGAGCTTTTACCGCCCCGGGATGTGCTGCAGGCTTTAAACTGATGACAGTTCGGGCTTCCTTGTCTCCAAGAAGAGCTTGGGCAGATAATCGGTGCTGGCTGTGCACCCACTTCAAACATTCCTCAGTTGGGTCCCTACAAGGAAACTGGCTTCACAGTTTGAGGGTTTTCTTTTTCATTCCACATACCATGTTTTCTATTTTGCTTATTTTATTTTGTTTTGTTTTATATTTTTAGTTAACTTAAAGCACTTCTTCCCAGTTTTTCTTGACTGCTGCTTGGCCTATCAGTTTAAATTTCTTCTCCAAGCCGAAATCCTCTCTGCTGCACACCCTGAGACCACAGCAGTAAACGCCCAGTGTGTAAGAACGTGTTAAAATGACAAATGACAAAGCTGCCCAATGAAGGCCCTTGAGATGAGAAACACACATGACCCCACTGACAAACTGCTGCTTGCAGAACTGGCCCCAAATCTCCCCCAGGTGTTTCCATGTAATGCTCCAAGTGTGTGCGTTACTTCTTGACAATAGGAAAGAAGCTCCTCTCTTTTGGCCTGATCCCTTGTGAAGGAAAGACCTTCCTGTACCCCGCTAGCGTAGCTGGGGTTCTGGGAGGGACTTTCTGTCTTGCCTGGGTGCTGCGTGAGCAGCCTGTGAGGTCCTGCAGGGACGCGCCAGGCCGCAGGGCCTGCGGGCGCTGGCCAGGCAAACCAAGCGCTGCCACCTAGTGGGGCCCAGCCTGCTCCTTCACGGGCTGCCACATGGCCACCAGCGCCCGGAGCGCGGAGTTTCCATAGGGGTGGCTTAAAATAGCGTTTACTGGTGAAGTTGTGCGGCTCCCTTCTGTGTCAGGGCTGCCCATGGGGTGTCTGGAGCTGCCGCCCGCTCTGTGCCCCTCTTGCAGGAGGCCACACGTGTGAGTGAAAGCGGGTGCTGGTTCTGGCTTTGTGCCGCTGTGCTGATTCTCGTCTCCTGGCCATGCCTGGGGTTCGCAGTGCTGTGGCTGGGGGTGGTGGGCCATGGCTGACAAGTGTCAGCTGGACGCTGTTGTGCCGTTGAACTTGCTGTGTCTGCTTGTAACATCTGGTGCGGGGGTGAGAAGTGGGGGATAGGGTGCCTCGAACCTTACCTGGGCAAGTGCCGCAGCTCCCCATAGGGACAGGCCTCTGCGCTCTCAGGTGTGCTTGAGTATCACAGCAAATGCTAGACCCTCTGCTTGTGTGTGGCAGCTAAGGCTGGTACCGCTGGTACCATCCGCTTCAGCTGCTCGGGGGTCCCTGGCCCCAGTATTTCTTCTGCTCCCCTCCAGCACATGGCACCGTGCCGCTCTGCTGGGCGTCTCCTGCAGAAGCCAGTGCCCAAAGGCTGCGTGGGCAGAGATGGACGCTGAAACACTGGGTGCTGCTGGGCTTTCCCCGACTCCCGGGCACCCTGAGGCCTTCTGTGCGCGTGTGGGAGCCTTGCGGCCTTTTCCTGCTGTCCCCCAGCAGTTTTGACTGGCATAAATACGCTCCCAAGCATGCCGCTACTTGGCTAATATGGTAAAAAAACCTCTTGTGGTGCATTAAAACCAAGCAACACGAAAGGCAGGGTGGGCTTCCTCAGCGAGGCCATCTGTTAAAAGGTGGCTGCAGCCGGCGTTGTTTGACTGGAGGCCCTTTATACCCATAAACGTCCGGCGTGCTGCGAACCGGTGCCTTTTTCCTATAAACAGAAGCGGAGCAGCGCGCGCGGCGGCGCGGGCGAGGCGAGGGCTGCAGCTCGGCGCAAAGGCTTTCTGGGCAGCGCTCGCCTGGCTTGTTTCATATCCTGTCGCGTTTTTCATGTATATATGTGTGCGTATATGTTGTGTGTGTATATATATTAAAGGGACAATTAAAATAGCACAGGGCTCGTCTGCCCAGGGCGGTCAGAGCTGCGCAGCAGAGCAGACGGGTGTTCACCAGAGCCCTTCTAGCCTTGGCACAGGACGCTTCTAATGCCAAAGCCACGTTATCCCCCCAGAGGGGTTGCTCTCTAACCAAGCCCTGAAGGATGCGGGTAACATCCCATAGGCGTTAGGTGCTGGAAGCTGCTGGTACCGCTGTAACCGCTGCTGCTGCCAGAGGCAGCCAAACTGCATTCGTCAAGGAAGTTGACAGATAATGTATGTGTATGTGTATATACATTATTTAAGCCCTGTTCTTTTTTACTGTCTTGCACTGCATTAGCAGTTGGAATATTTGAAATGAAAGCTGTTGTATGGACTAATAGACCCAAATGAAAATGACCTGATACTACGTGTGCCTCTGAAAGACGCCCTGAGCGCTGACTTCAATACAGTCTCCTTGCAAAATCAATATACGAAGTGCTGCATAGGGGCAATCCTTGCTGCTGGAATAACGTGGATGGCCACCAGGGTGGGCTGTGCTATGAGAGCACAGGGATATGGGTGCAATTTTACCCAAAACCTCGGACACAGTGAAGAGTTTTTTGGGTGCATGGGGGGCTTATTCCCTCTCCTTGAGGCCGAGGGGTGTCCTGCCAGGGGCACCCAGAAGGAAACCTGCTCTTACAGCCTTACAGCCAAGCAGGGCAGTCGGGAAGAGCTCAGCCTGCTCTGGGAATGCGAGCGACTCCACGCGCTTTGTGACGCGACAGCTCTTTATTTATTTATATATTTATTCTGGTTATTAATAGCAAGCGCTCGGGCTGCGGCTGAGGCAGGCTGTGCCCACCGCGCTCACTCCTAATTGCGAGTAAACTGCCTTTTGGCAAAACCAGCCTGCAGCGCGGGTTGGTCTGGGCTCCTGGCGATCTCTGGGCAGCCGTCGGCGCTCCTGCTGGATGTGGCAGCGCCCCGCGTCCCGCCGCGATGCCGCTCTGCAGAGAGCGTTGCATCACCCCTGCTTGCTCATTTTAATGCCCTGTGCTGCCTCTTGGGATGTCTTGGAGGAGCCCAGTGGCGTTTCCCATAATAGGCAAATGCGCAGTTTGGAGCGGGCCAGCTCTGAAAAACTTGGCTGCCGCCGGCTTTCTCCAGAGGGTCGGTGGCTGCCGCATGGAAGGGCTGCTAATCCCCACCTGCGCCCATGTAAACATTTGGACTCATTTTTCAAGGCGCAGCCCATCCTGGCTCCATCCGCTCGGCGCGTGCAGGCCGGGTCGGCCTGTTTGCCCGAAGCCTCCTGCAGCGCGAGAACTGTTTTGCTGGGCAGAGGGCTTCACCCTCCAGGTGTGTCTATTTATATACAAGGCTCTCTATATAGATACCCGTGTATTTATAAGCATGGCTGTGCATGTACCTATGCATATATATGGAAAGTGTGTGTGTATGTGTATATATATACATAATACGTGGTCTCATAAATCTTTCGCAAGTGCAGCAAGGTTTGGGCGAGATCATTTTGATTCACAGCCCAACGTGCCCAGCGCTGCTGGTGGGGGCTCGGGCTGCCTGGGCACCCGCTGCTCGGCGTGTGCCTGACCTCGATCCGCCTGCTAAGGGCAAAGCGGCCTCCGAGGCCCTGACCGCCTTGGTGCGACTTCCTGCTGCTGTCAATCTGCGCCGCCGCAAGACGTGGGGAGCCTTTCCGGCCAGGATTGGCCTTGGTTGAGCTCATGGGAAGGTTTGGTGGAGCAACGAGGCCAACAAATGCGGAGCAGGGATGGGAGCAGGGCAGCGGGTGCAGAGGGGCTCTCCCGCGGGCGCCGAGCTGGGTGTCCTCTGGCAGAGAGGTGGGGAGGGAGAGGTGCGAAGGTGCTGCCCCTGGGTGCCACATGGATGTCGGGGGCTGCCTCAAGGTGTTGGCGTTGAGGGAAACGTGGCCAGTACGGTCACCTGTGAGAGGTGCTGCTACATCCCGGCAACAGGAGCGTGGGGGGCTGAGCCTGCCAAGCCTGGGCACCCTGGTGTGCAGTGAGAGGCCACCTCACTTCCCGGGGCTGCCATCGGCCGACCTCCGGCGGTGGCCATTCCCTGTGGGACTTGTAGCCTCGATACAGCGGTGACAGCGGTGTGGGGCTAGGGGTGCTGCCTCCAGCCCCCCGCGAGGGCGGTGGGGTGGCGGGCAGGAGGTCGGGCCGGCCGTGCAGCTGCTGGCTCTCATCTCTCCTGCTCCAGTGCGGCGGCGGCCGCAGCCGGCAGACCATGCAACCCAATCCTTCCCCCATCCATGCGTGTCCGCCGGGGGCTCAGTGGGGCCCCGCTTGTCACACAGGCTGCCTGCTTCAGTGGTGCCCCAGTGGCAGAGGCTTTTGCCTTTGCCTTGCGGGGAGCTGCCGCGGGGAGCTGTCGCGTGGCCCCGGCCCCCCGGGGCAGGTGAATTTTCAGGACAGAGGCAGCGGGTGAGCGTTGGGCCCCGGCACGGGGCTCGCTGCCCGGCTCGGGGCTTTG